GTTTACTCTTTTTTTTTCTTAACTTTGAAACCCTCAGATCATTTTGTTATAGAATTTGTTCTTGCATTAATGCAAGCACAGTGAAATACATACCCTTGGTGCATTTGCAAGGGTAAACTTCCAAGTAACTTGCTAGATAACCACACATGTAGCTTCTCATTTCTTCTGTTGTGCTTTGGTTTGCCTGGGTAGTAATGAACCTAACATATGTGTCGCTTGGACTGCCCTCCTCCATGTAGCAAAATAGCTTTCTAAATTACTCAGGAAATAGAATGAGTAATAACCATGTTCAGGAAAGATAATCAGGAAGTGAAACTTCCAAATTGCATATACATGTAATAATATCAGTAACAAATTTTAAAAATACCTCTGTACAAAAAGGATTTATTCATTAATACTTTATAATTACTTTTGTATATTTTGCATAGCTTTTGAAGAGAAAGGAAAAATATAGAGCTACTTGTTCAACTATCATATTATGAAGGATCAGCATAACTGTTATTCACTCCCCACACAAATACCTGCATGGACTGGGCCAGGCTGAATTTGGGCACCAGGTCTCCCACGTGGGTCCCAGGGACACAACTACTTAAACTATCACCTGCTGCCTTACAGGACGCACTTTACTGGCATTGAGAACCAGAGCCAGGACTTCTTCTTTTTTTAAGATTTATTTATTTTATTTTAAAAGGCAGAGTTACAGAGAAGCAGATGCAGACAGAGAGAGAGAGAGAGAGAGAGAGAGAGAGAGGTCATCCATCTGCTAGTTCCCAAATGGCTGAAATGGACAGCACTATCCTGACTTGCAACCAGGAGCCAGGAGCTTCTTCCGGGTCTCCCACAGGGGTGCAGGGGCTCAAGGACTTGGGCCATCGTCTACTGCTTTCCCAGGCCATAGCAGAGAGCTGGGTTGGAAGTGGGGCAGCTGGGACTCAAACTATGGTGATATGGGATGCTGGCACTGCAGGTGGCAGCTTAACCCACTATGCCACAGAGTTTGGCACCAAGAGATCCAAGAACTCTGATGTGGGATGCAGGCATCCCAAGCATCACCTTGAACACCAGGCCAAATGCCCATTACTAGTTTCTGTTTTGAGTCTTGTTTTTTCCAACTTTACCAATTATTTGGTTCAAATTGAACTGTCTTCTTTTTTTTATTTAGTAAATATAAATTTCCAAAGTAAAGTTTACGGAATACAATGCCCCCCCATAATTTCCCTCCCACTCACACCCCTCCCATCTCCCGCTCCCTCTCCCATCCCATTCACATCAAGATTCATTTTCAATTATCTTTATATACAGAAGATTGATTCAGTATATATTAAGTAAAGATTTCATCAGTTTGCACCCACACAGAAACACAAAGTGTAAAATACTGTTTCAGTACTAGTTATAGCATTACTTCACATTGGACAACACATTAAGGACAGATCCCACATGAGAAGTAAGTACACAGTGTCTCCTGTTGTTGACTTAACAATTTGACACTCTTGTTTATGGTGTCAGTAATCTCCCTAGGCTCTAGTCATGAGTTGCCAAGGCTATGGAAGCCTGTTGAATTCACCGACTTCGGTCTTATTCAGACAGGGTCTTAGTCAAAGTGGAAGTTCTCTCCTCCCCTCAGAGAAAGATACCTCCTTCTTTGATGGCCCTGTTCTTTCCACTGGGATCTCACTCACAGAGATCTTTCATTTAGTTTTTTTTTTTTTTTTTTTTTCCAGGGTGTCTTGGCTTTCCATGCCTAAAATACTCTCATGGGCTGTTCAGCCGTATCCGAATGCCTTAAGGGCTGATTCTGAGGCCAGAGTGCTGTTTAGGACATCTGCCATTCTACAAGTTTGCTGTGTATCCCACTTCCCATGTTGGATCATTCTCTCCCTTTTTGATTCTGTCAGTTAGTATTAGCAGACACTAGTCTTGTTTATGTGATCCCTTTGACTCTTAGACCTATCATTATGGTCTATTGTGACCTGAAACTGATCACTTGGAGTAGTGAGATGGCATTGGTACATGCGACCTTGATGGGATTGTATTAGAATCCCCTGGCACGATTCTAACTCTACCATTTGGGGCAAGTCCAATTGAGCATGTCCCAAATTGTACATCTCCTCCCTCTCTTATTCCCACTGTTATATTTCACAGGGATCACTTTTCAGTTAAAATTTAAACACCTAAGAATAATTGTGTGTTAATTACAGAGTTCAACCAATAGTACTAGAACAAAACAAAGAAAATTTAACTGTCTTCTAATAGTCATATTGGCTACATAGAATAGCTGAGTTTGCATTATTGTTTTTCACCATTTATCAAAGGATTTTTTTATTTTAATTTTGAAAATTTATTTAATATGACTGATTAGCTATATAAGTATTTGGGTAAATTTTTAAACTTTATTTTGGCAGACAGTTATAAAAATGTATTTTACAATAAATTATAGAAACTGCAATCCTGACCAGGCTTTTGTTTCCTCAGGATCAGTTCTACCATCTTTCAAATATCTCTATCAAAAATAAATATACTTACTATGTATCAGTAAAAAGTGAAAAGCAAGAAGAGAAAGAAAAGCAAAGCTGAATTAAAATCTAAAATGGCAGAATTGAAATAAGTCCAGTTCTACTTTCTTTTCTTTTCACAGTGACCATTTTATTATTTCTAATGTAGAAAATAAGGGGGTACTATGGTGTAGCAGGTAAAGCCACTGACTGCAGTGTTGGCATCCCATATGGGTACAGGTTCAAGTCCCGGCTGTTCCACTTCCTATCCAGCTCTCTGCTATGGCCTGGGAAAACAGTAGAAGATGGCCCAAGTCCTTGGGCCCTGGAACCCATGAGGGAAACCTGGAAGAAGCTCCTGGCTCCTGGCTTCAGACCAGCCCAGCTATAGCCATTGAGGCCATTTGGGGAGTGAACCAGCATATGAAAGATTCTCTCTCTGTCTCTTAATCTCTCTCTCTCTCCCTGCCTCTACTTCTGTAATTCTGCCTTTCAGATAAATAAATAAATCTTGAAAGGAAGGAAGGAAGCAAGGAAGGAAAGAAGGGAAGGAAGGAGGGAGGGAGAGAGGAAGGGAAGGAGAGAGGGAGGGAGAGAGGGAAGGAGGGAAGAAGAGGTAGCACGGCAAGGTCTGGAGACCCAACCTGCACTTGAATTGAGCAAATGATTTAAAATCATTAAGTAGTTATTCTCTAAGGAAATGCTTATGGCTGAGTTCACGTGTGTATCTAAGGGGCTAGCTATGTAACTGGGAGGTCACAAAATTAATTTGATGTAGAATAAATATTGACTAAAGAACAAATAATATTAAAATGCTAATTTGACATATTTATTATACTTTCTCAATAGTAGCCTCAGCAATCATTTAGAAGTTAAATGTACAACATAATTTTGTGGAGTATTTTCATCAGTGTCATTGAGAATTGATGATCCAGTGGTTTAAAAATCATACATTCTGGTGGACTTTATTATTGTTTTAAAAACATCTATATATAGTGCACTCATTTATTGCTTACATTTGTTTGCCTATTCTTGGGTCTCAGTGTTTATTTATTATAGTTAGATTTTATAAAGTACATACAGTGTCAAAGCTTCCAATAAGTGGCTCTGTCATTGTTGTCCTATTATTAGAAAATAGTATTTGTATATAAAACATTTCCAGCACTATAATTTTTTTCCTTTCAGTACATTCCTAAAATCAGAATTTTGCAATATGGTAGGTGCTACAAGAAGCTTCCCTGTAATTTTATGTACCAATGCTCCTGGAAGTAGTGTATGTTCAAAACTAGTAGAAATGAACCTTAAAGAATAGTTGCTAATGTTGCAAGTGAAAATTAATATTTCATATAATATGCTTTTTTAATCACTACAGGATTTTCAAAATTATGCCTTATATTTATTTTTAGTTTTAATTTTAGTCTTTACTAATTCTTCTTTATGGGGGGTATTCATTTTTGCAATGATTAGATCATTATTAAGACTAGTAGCAACATGCTTGTCCTCTGTGTCCATTTTGGAATTTCTTGAGATTTGTTCTTTTGTCTGAATTGAAGTGGATATGTAATGTATTCCAGTTACAATTTATGGTAAACCTTCATATTTGCCTTAATTGCACACACACATGTAGACACACATAAACACATACAAGACTTGCTTAGAAAATAGCTCCAAGTAACAATTCTGTTTGCCAGAATTTATTACCTTGGTGCTATATAACAGCATATATTTTGTAGTAGCATAAAAAAAATGAAGACAAAGTCTTCCTAAGTGATCTGAAGGTTTTAGTTTTTGTACAGGATATGATAAGCAGACATAAAGAAGGGCCTTGATCTAGTTGATACCCAGTTGTAAACTCTATAAAGTAAGTGGTAATGTTTAAGTGAATAGAAAAATTTAAACAACCAGTCAGGTACAAAATAGACCCATAAAATACCTCTGACATCTGGGCAATTTCTAGTATTTTGCCAATATCTCATGTTCTGCATTCAGTTAGAGTTACTTGCTTTTGCGTTTGTCTCTTTCTTCTCCCAATGTTATTACTATTTGTTTCATGAAACTCGAACTGGAATTTTCCCAACAGCTGCCACACAGTAATTGATCAACCATGTTATAAAATAGAATAAATACTCTCGCTCTGGGTCCAGTGCTCTTCCAAATGATCCTTGTTACTTCCTGTGATTACCAGGGCTTTGGGTGTTCTTTTGCTGATCTAGGGTTCAAAGGTGCTGGGAACAGCAAAGAAAAGCCATAGAAACATCAGTCTGACCACAGATGCTGCCTAATGGTGTGTTAAAACTGTGCAAGGAAGAATAACTTGCTGACATGATGCCTCCTAAAGGGACACACATAAATGCTGACTCCTTTGTTTTTTTAATTGGTCAGTTACGTTGTGTAAAATTTGGCATGAGAAATACTTTGCCCTTTCAGGTTGCTCTGGACATAAAATCCCTAACCAAGCAAAATCTAGACTGCTCATGTGTGAATCAGTGTTTCTCTTTTTCCCTATAGGGGGATGATGTACTTTCCTTTATGAAGCTTTATTTAATGATCTGTTTGGTTAACGTGTACCAAGGTGATGCTCTAGTCAGCCAAGCTGAGGAGATTCTGCTTTGCATGTAGGAAGGTAAGCAGCAGGATAATCTGAGTTGCAGGAAGTGTGAATAGAAGTGAGTGATCCATTGACCCAGGAGGTCTGAGAGACATATCTTCATTGGAAGAATGCAATGTTAAAAAATAGTTGTCCTAGAGACAGAAAATTCTCTGGATTTCTAGAGACTAAGGAAGTCATTCTACTCTTACTTAGTCCATGAGCTGTTCTAAAACTCATTGTAAATGCATTATAGTGGTTGCTATATGTCTGTATCTATATCTATGCATTTTTTTCATGTAACAAGGTCACTTTTACAGGTTTATAAAGTAGATTCCTAATGAAAACAGATATATTTTCCTAGTGTCAGGACTTTAAAAAAGTTAATAGGTAAGAAAATGAAATGAAGCACTTATTGATTGGTTAAGTAGCAAGTGCAATTTTAAAGCTACAATATTATTTTATTTCTTTTAAGATAACAGTGGAGACTTTGATGCATCCATGTTATGAAGTCGTGTTGCTATGAACAAGAGGTGAATATTTTACTCAGGCCTGAATTTTCAGCTAGTGGTTTTCATTTTCTTGCATTTTTATTTTCTTGGATTTAAAAGTTGTTATCATGTCTGAATCAGGTTGGGGGAGCCAAGAAAATTAACCAGAGTTCAGTGAAATATATAAAAAACCATAACTCAAGCTAGACTATGGACAATTCACCCTTAAAACAGGTGTAAAGGAGGTAGGACCACTTTCTTTGGTCACTGCTCTGTTCCCAGTGTGATATTTGAATATCACATTGAAAGACTGGTACCATTACAGTAGGTAAAAATGGGGATACAAGTATTTTAGCCAGATAGACAAACAGTAAAAACAGAATATGAAAACAGTAACTAATTCTGTTTCCTTAGAAAGTAATGTATAAAGAGAGAGGCAGTGAGAGGTAACATTAGGCAGTGCTGGCACACCGGGTTCTAGCCGGATTCTGTCCCGGTTGCCCCTCTTTCAGGCCAGCTCTCTGCTGTGGTCAGGGAGTGCAGTGGAGGATGGCCCAGGTACTTGGGCCCTGCACCCCATGGGAGACCAGAAGCACCTGGCTCCTGCCATCGGATCAGCACGGTGTGCCGGCTGCAGCGTGCCGGCTGCGGTGGCCATTGGAGGGTGAACCAACGGCAAAGGAAGACCTTTCTCTCTGTCTCTCTCTCTCACTGTCCACTCTGCCTGTCAAAAAAAAAAAAAAAAAAAGAGAGAATCATGGCTAAATTACAAGAAATTAGGGGTTATTGAAATGACAGGACAATGCTGATGAATTCTGCTGTTAATGATATCAACACTGGTGATTTTTAGGCATTTTCTTGGAAGCTATTAAAATTTTTCTGGACATAAATACATCTGCCTTTACATTAAAATTAAACCTGTCATGATCAGAGCTTCTGTTCAAGCTTTCAATTCTTCTACAAGTTCACTCCTTCATTGGAAACGTTGAATGTTTCAGTTTAATTGCCAGACACTCACTTTAGAGCTTAGTAAATTAATTTGCTTAAAGATTTTGTTGGTAAATAAAAGGTGTAAGATTTAAGATCAAGTTTATTTAACATCAACATTCATTTAACATCAGCATTCATGGTCTTAACTATTACATGGTACAGACAATAAACCAGAGGGAGAGCAATAAAGATGGCATACCCATATTGGTAAATCAATTCTTTACCAGTGCATGATATAACAAATGGGCTTCAGCCATGAGATTCTTTTTAAGGACACCATAGAACCTCCCTGTCAGTCAACCTAGAAAGCTCAAAATCACTGGTGCATGTTAAAATAGTCTTACCCTTAGTTTTACTCAACACCCCTGATTTGATCGTGATGGCATCTAAAATTTGACACAGTATTTAGGGAAATAAGTTAGTATTGTAGGAGCTCAATGATCACATCATTTCTACCAAGGCAGGTGGCTGTCATTTATAGCAGAAATGGACTGGGATGACATGATGAAAAGTCATGCTTTTGAAGAAAAATTGAAGCATGAATTAACATCTAATTTTATAATTGTTGGAATCAAACTGCTTATGACCTAAAATTGCCCAGAAATTTCCATTACCTCAAAATGGAAATAGATCTCATAATATTGATGATATTTTCCGTTTTAGGCAAAGAGAAAAATTACTTCCACTGAATAAAATTTAACTTGGGAATGGGAGGTAAAAATACTTCTAGAACTGCATTTGATTATATTCTATACCTTGTATGATCAATGAACTGGTCACATCAATGTGTTAGAAATTGATATGACCACAGAATCTAGGCACTGATTGAAAATTAAGGAAAACACAAAATGGGGGGTGGGAATCTTAGCTCAGTCCACATAGTAGCATATGTATTCATATTCTTCCATTTTGGTTGTTTGGTGGAATCAATATAATATCTGGGGTTCTGAGAGACAAAATATATAGTGTGACCCAAAGTTTGTGTTATTTCCATGTAAACATGACACCAAATTTTGCTTATCATTTTTAAAATAATATTTTACATTTTAAAATAATGAGAATTTGATTTATCTAGGGAAAAACAACTTCTCATTTTCATTTTTCACTTGTTTTGGTGTCCAAATTACCAGGAATGTTGATAAGCAAATATCATTTCTGCTGTATCTTGCCTATGCGTGCTTAGACAAAAATCCTGTTTTTTTCATTTTATGTTTTCACAGTATTAGACTATCACTGATAAAATTCCATTGACATGTTTTATATGTGGGTAACTTTAAGATGGTGTTCACTATAGAGTTTTGCTATAAAATATGTGAATAAATGCATTCTGATTTATTTTTTTCTCCCAACACGTTCTGACTTGTTTTAAATGAGAAATCATTGAAAATGAAAATAGGAATCGAATAGTGAGAAACCTGAGAATTTTTTTTCTAATAGCAATTTAGGCAGAAAACAACATGGGGAGTGTGATTTTGATATTTATATAAAAATATATATATACTCACTTTAAAATATATATAGCAGCTTACATGTATATATGTTGATATATGCAGATATACAGTAGTCATATACACAAATATAATTCATTCATTGGTCTTTAAAACCACTCTTGTAATGATTTAAATAGAATTATTTTTAGTTTCCCTCTTTCCATTTATGAAGTGCTGAAATATGTTACTTACTGTATATGATGATTATTGTCAACTCACATGTTATACTTGGGTTATCTTGGAAGAAAGCATATATATTCAAAGGAGCCTTTCCATTAGCACTCAGTCATTGCTAGGGCCGATATTAAGCTGGCACACACTGGTACAGTTACAATATTGAAATATTCTGTACTGGATGCGAAAAGTCCACTTTTTAAGAAATATTTGAGACTCAGAGAGACAGAGACAGCCAGAGAATTTCCATCCACTGGTTTACTCCCCAAATGGCCACAACAGTCTGGGCCTGACCAGGAAGTCAGGAACTGGGATGTTATCCAGGTCTCTTACAGGACTGGTAGGGATCCAACTACTGAGCCATCATCTGCTGCCACCTAGCTGTGCAAAAGCAGGGAGTGACAGTCAGGGTCTGAGCCAGGGCTTGCACCCAGGCACTGTGCTATGGGATGCAGTAACCCAAGGTGATCTCTCAACTACTTCATCAAATGCCTGCCTCAAACTCTACTTTTCACCTGTCTGATGATCCTTTACCATCCGGGCTGCCACCTTTCCCCTCTTCCTATGCCCCAGTAGCACAAAATAAACTACAGTGTTCCATGGTACAGCAAAGCCTGTAGAACTCTTATCCAATGTTTTGACTGGCTGCCTGTTGTCTGTACTGTATCAGCTGTTAACAGTTTTAAAGATCATCCCTGCTTGTTATGATTAAAACTAAAGGAGAATGCTTAAGAACACAATTATATGTGCTTCACATTTTATAATGTGTTGTGAAGGTGAGCAAACATTATTTGGCTGTTTCATGATTCATTTTTTTTAATACTGGCATTATCCTAATGGTATCCAATTGTTTTCTTTTAAATGACCAGAGATATCTTCTGCAGGCCAAATAGCATATTACACATCTGTCAAAACCATACTCTATTACCATAGAACTGTGTTTACCAAGCTTTTCCAAATCCATTTGGATCATTCTGGCTGCTGGCTGTACGTTCATTTACATCTTTGATATGTTTCTATTTTTTCCAGTCATTTATATAAATGAGAATGTACTAGAGTGAATATCTTAGCCCTTTGAGCCCTAGACTAAATTTCAAGGTTGGTAATAGATTCTGTTCTTCATTTCAGTTTGGCAGCAAAGTTAAGCTTGAAGCAAGATACTGAAAATAAAATATTTCTGGTGAAAATGCTGTATTTATGAAATCAGTAATATGAAGAATTAAATTATGTTCTCCCCCAAATCATGTTGAAACTCCATCTTACATGTGATGATATTTGAAGAAAATTTCATTTGTTTTTTAAATTTAATGTTTATTAGAGAGCTCCCATCTGCTGGTTCATTTCCCAAATGCCTGCAAGGGCCAGTTCTGGGCCAATGCTAAAGCTAGAAGTTGGGAAGTCAATCTAGGTGTCCCACATAAGTAGCAGCAGCTCAGTTACTTGAGACATCAGTGATGCCCTGTAGGGTCTGCCTTAGCCAGAATCTGGGCTCAGCAGGCGGAATTGGGAACTGAACCAGGTGCTCTGATATAGCATGTGGACATCTTAAATGCTTGGCTACACACCCGTTCCTGAAAAAAAAATTAAATTTAGTTAAGGTCATGAAAGTGTAGCCTTTGTGGGAGCAATAGTGCTCTTCTAAGAGAGAGAGATTCCAACAAAGAGGCCATGCAAGCACACAGCAAGATGGCCGCTACCTGCAAGCCCAGGGAAGGGACCATAGAAACTTACCTGATGTTTGCCTGAGCTTGGATTTCTCAGGTGCAGAACTGTAAGAAATAAATTATGACCATAGTCGAAGGTGCCCAGTCTGTGGTTTTGTTGTAGCACAAGGAGACTAGTACAAGTGATAACTATGGTGTGTTCTGATGATATTTAGACACTTTGCCTTGAGATTGTTGTTGGGTACACCAAGTATTCACTGAGCAATCACAGAATGCATAGAGATGGTTTTTTGTTTGTTTGTTTGTTTGCTTATTTTTTAGGTTTTTGGATTGACTTTTAAATGGATGAAAACATGATGATCCTAGAACGTTAGGGATTTATGAGACTCTTCATATTCCTGCCCACAAATGCAGTTTACAGAGCAAGTGTTAAAATACTAAAACCATCCACCCTATGGTGGTTTGGTACCAAAAAGAACCCCCAGCCGTGTGATCGCCCACAGCCCATGGGGACTTGCCCAGATAGCACCTGGCAGCATTATCCACTTCCGCTTCTGGTGGACGTGGGGTGGGCACTCAGATTTATCCTATTTGAAAGGTTTGGAATCTGAAGGTTCAAGAAATGGTAAGGCTGGGAAGGACTTTCAGGATAGAAGAATGTGTGTATTTGAAGAAGCCCCTCTCAAAATGAGAATTCACAGGTAATTTAAGGTTCTATTTGCTTATTTATTTGTTATTTTTAAAGAAATTATGACAAGGTTAAGGTGAACAGAGAAGGTCGAATCACAGAATTACTAAAAAGCGAATCATCCTCTCTGACTATTTGTATTAGACAGAGTGGCTGGGGAATATACATAATAACAATGATAAAGCAGGAGATTCTTTACATTTAGAAAGTATGGAGAGAATTTTATTTCCTTAAAAACTAAGGATATCTCAATAAGAGAAAAAACACAGAAACATTATTTTTGCTATAAATTGTGTAAAATAAATTCTAGAATCATGAAAATCAATGGATAAGTTGTGAATAAGGAGTGATGGTCAGTAACTGAGAATTAAGTATAAAAAAGGCAAAATTATCCAAGAATCCAAGTTATCACATAGTACTTACAGCTGAAGAGCAACACCAAAACTTCAGTCAATTAAAGTAATATAAACAAGTGGTCTTCCAAAAGTTCATGGGGAGACAGAGTTACAAGATAAGTTTATTTTGGTGCAAAAAGTTTTTGAAATCCATGCGTAGTTTGTCCATTATATGCATTTTCCATGAACTTTTTGAAGACCCTTTGTAACTCATTCTCTAGAGAAATATAAATCCCTGAGAATAATTGATTTTGTTATAAAAATAGAAACAAGTTCACTTAAGAATAACATTTACATTTCACACAAATCCATTACTTGTTCTCATTACACTTCCCTCAAGAAAGGACCTGCAGTGTCCTATTAAGAATTAAATTCTGGTTGGTGCCGCAGCTCAATAAGCTAATCCTCTGCCTTGCGGTGCCAGCACACCGGGTTCTAGTCCCGGTTGGGGTGCCGGATTCTGTCCCGGTTGCCCCTCTTCCAGGCCAGCCCTCTGCTGTGGCCCGGGAGTGCAGTGGAGGATGGCCCAAGTACTTGGGCCCTGCACCCGCATGGGAGACCAGGAGAAGAAACTGGCTCCTGGCTTCGGATCAGCACGATGCGCCTTCCGCAGCGCGCTGGCCACGGTGGCCATTGGAGGGTGAACCAACGGCAAAAGGAAGACCTTCCTCTCTGTCTCTCTCTCACTGTCTACTCTGCCTGTCCAAAAAAAAAAAAAAAAAAAAAAATTGAATTCAGCAAGAAAAATAAGAACATGATTAGTTTATGACCATTTGACAAGATGAATTCATGAAAAAAATTTAAAACAAATTTTTAAACTCTAATGTAAGAGTCCAAATGTGAGGGTAAGATAGAGGACACTTAATATAATCTGAGAGCAATGGAGATGGCAAGACATATTACACTTTTACTGTGCAGAAATTAATCAGAGCCATCTGAGAGTTAAATATGAATTCAAACTATAAGCCATCGGATCAATATTAATCTTCAAATCTAAGAAAATATGTTCTTTGAACTTGAAACAATGAAACTTCATAGTCTTATCATTTCTTTGGGACAAATGTCTGGGCACAGTGTGACTGCTAAGGGTTTCACAAGGTCAACATGCAGGTTTCAGCAGGGCGTGTACTTCCAGGAGTCTTTGGGAGGAAGCCTTTCTAGGTCCTTCAGGTGTTTCGCTGGAGTCAGCTCCTGTGACTGAGGCCCTGTTTCCTCGTTGGCTGTAAATCAGGGATGGTTTGCGTTTCTAGAGGCTGTCCGCATTCCCAGCTCCCTTTCTCAGTCTTCATCACCAGTGTAGCAGGTGGAAGATTGCTGGCCTCCCATTCTGCCTCAGCTCTTCTCTGTTCTCCATTTTTGTCTCACATACGGGACACCATTGAGAAAATTCCTGGCTTTTAAAGATTTGTGTGATTAGATTGACCCCTGTATGTAATCCTGGCAGATAATCTCCCTACTATGAATTGTGGCCAGTTGATTAGTAACTTAAATTCCATATTAAAACTCCCTTCATAGCAGCGTTTGAATAACTAGAAAATGGGAATCTTATGGGGATCATTTTTAGGATATTGTTTACCACACATGCCCTGCCTAATCTTGTCTACTTGATAACTGACTGGTCCAGCAAGGACAGCAAATGTTCTAGAATGCCACATCCATGAATAGGTGACATGAAGTTGTGACTTCTCTACTGTTCATAAATTCCATCTGGTATTGATGAGGCCAACTGCCATACTTTAGAGGCTCAAGTGGGAAAGAACTCAAGGTAGCCTCTGGCCTACAACCAGCAGAGAATTGAAGTCCTTAGTCCAATATCCTGTAATGAACTAATTCTTGACACTCAGTCCAATATCCTGTATAGAACTAATTCTTGACAGCGACGTGGAGACTGGAAATGAATGATTTGCCATCCCTGGCCAACACATTGTTGCAGCTTTTAGAGAGTTCTTGAAGAAGACAGAGTAAGCTATGCCAGAACCCCTGACAAACAATATCTGTTCAATAATAAATGCATATTTTTCTAAATCAGTAAATTGCTAGTAATTTGTTATGCAAAAAACAAAAATCCATTTTCTTCAGAGATTATTCTGTTTACCATTATGCTGCACTTCCGGTATAAAATGTAGTTCAGTCCACAGAGGTGTAAACAGCTTTTTCTTCCTCTATTTTCTACAGTAAAACTCACTGACTAGTGAATTCAGTGAATCTTAAAGGATATTATAGGTAATGTGTGTGTCTTCTGGCTTACGTGGTTGAGTGTATGGCATTTAACTAAGATCAGGAAAATAGGGAGACTAACTGGTTTTTCAGGTTGATGTTGCAGCTAGTGAAGAACAATTTTCCATTAGGACTGTTGAGAGGCTGTGGGCCTGTAGGTACTTAGTAGGCAATTGAAACCATGGTACAAGTCAGGAACTTGAAAAAATATTAGAGTTGTAGCTTTAGATTTGGAGTGTGTCAGTGGTGTCAATGTTAAAGCAATGCATGATGGAGCAGGGACATAAGCCTCAGTTATTTTAGCTCCTTGCCTGGAAACAGATAGAATTCCTTGAAGGACCCTTTTGGCCCTGCTTTCTTTCAAGAGACTAGCTGCAGCTCCAAGCCCTGTATTGTTCTCTATTCCACCCCCTGCATTTTTTTCCCAAAAAAACTGGCCACAGAGAGGAAGGCTGAAAAGCCTCAGAAGAGCTGGCTCAGCCATACCCCAGTCCCCATGGCCCTTACCTGGCTTATGCTATATAAACCCAGCCCATAACTAAATTCCTGTTCAGTCTGAGTGAACGCTGGCAGTTGGCCAGCTCTACAAATTTTATTTTTCCACTCAAATAAATTTATCTTGGCTTTGAGTCCATATCTTATTTCCCCTCTGTTATTCTCCTTCTTTCCTTACAATGCATGTGTTTTAAATCTTTCAGAAATGTGTTCAGAGACAAAGATGGATAAACTTTTAATTCAGTAGAATAACAACATATGAGAAAAAAAAAAACAAAAAAATAAGAGGAAATAACAAGACTGAGACTGCGTGTTGATACAGATAAAGGGAGCATCAGGAAAGAATGGCCAAGGATTGAAAAAAGAGAAATTGTCAAGAAACTGTCTACTGGGGTTAGATGAAACCTCATGCTGGTTTTGATTTTCATTTATCTGATGGTTAGTGATCCTGATCATGTTTTCAAGTATCTGTTGGCCATTTGGATTTTCTCTTTTGAAAAGTGCCTGTTCAAGCCTTTGCCCATTTAATAATTGAATTGTTTTTATTGTTGAGTTTCTTGAGATCTTTATAGATTTGGGATATTAATCCTTTAACAGTTGCATAGTTTGCAGTTATTTCCCCTTATTCTGTTGGTTGCCTCTTCATTTTTCTGAGTGTTTCTTTTGCAGTGCAGATGCTTCTCAGCTTGATGGAATCTCATTGGTCATTTTGGCATTGATTACCTGTTATTCTGGGGTCTTTTCAAAAAGGCTTTGCCCATGCCAATGTCTTACAGAGTTTCCACAATGTTCTCTAGTAATTTGATGGTATCAGGTTTTATATTTAGATCTTTGATCCATTTTGAGTTGATTTTTGTATAAGGTATAAGGTAGGGGTCTTGTTTCATACTTTTGCATGCAGCACCATTCATTGGAGAGACTGTCCTTGCTCCAGGGATTAATTTTTAGCTCTTTATCAAAAATAAGTTGATTGTACATGTATAGACTGATTTCTGAAGTTTCTATTCTGTTCCATTGGTCTACATGTCTTTTTATTTATTCATTTTGCCTGTACCAGGTTGTTTTGATTATAACTGCCCTGTAGTATGTCTGACAACTGGTATTGTCATGTCTCCACCTTTGTTTATTTTGTACAAGATTGCCTAGCTTTTCGGGGTTTCTTGTGTTTCTATATGAATTTTAGCATCATTTTTTCTAGATCTGAGAACAATGAGTTCCAGTTGCTTATTAGTGGAGTGTTTTGGTTCCCCTATATATAGATCATCTCATCTGCAAACCGAGATAATTTGACTTTCTCTTTCCAATTTGTATTCCTTTGATTTATTTTTCTTGTCTAATGGCTCTGACTGAAACTTCCAGGATTATATTGAATATCAGTGGTGAAAGTGTTCATTCTTGTGTCGTTTTGGATCTTATTGGAAATGCTTCCAACTCTTCTCTATCCAATAAGATCTTGGCTGTGGGTTGGTTATATATTGTATTGATATGTTACAGACACAGGGCTCCTGTAGTCATGGGGTCCAAAGGATCCACTCTGCCCCACTAGCCTGTCCTGTCCATGGAGAGGCTGAGATGTTCCCAGAGCCAGCTGCTTATGGGTGCTCCACCCCTAAGTCATTTGTGGGTCCCCGGCCCACATCAGTCCTCCCAGCCACAAAGACACAAAGTCAGTGGGGTACATGGAGTTTTCCCTCTGGTATAATCCCTGGATCACAGGAGTATACAAAAGCCCTACTCATTTCACAATTGGTCTTTCCCCCTCCAGATGCCAGGCACATAGAAGATTCTCTGCAGCTGGTACTGATGTCAGAATGGCTCTGCCTCTGACCCATTGCTGGGTATGAGCACACACAGCCGAGCTGCTGCGGCTTCTGCTGCTGGCAAAGTGACAGTCTTTCCCTTGCCAGTTGCTGGGCCTGCACAGAAGAACTGTGCAGTTACTACCTACTTTTGTCCAACATGGTGCCCACCCTCTCAGCTGGTTGCCAGGCACTGTTGTGAGGGCGGATGAGGAGCGATAACCATGCCCCTCCTTTCTTTGCTGGGTTAGCAGGCACCCTGTTCCCTTCAGGACTCCAGGCTAGATTCAAAGATAATGCAGTCTGCTAGGCTCTCCTCCTGGCAGTATCACCAGCAGCATGGGCTGCTGCAGTCTGATTTCACCTTGCTCTACAAAGCTGGCGCTTTCTTCAGCTCTGGGCAGCTGAGGTCGTGAACTGTGTCGGTGTTTGTTGCTGCGTGTCTGCACCTTCCACACCTGTCCACACACCTCTCCTTCTTCCACAGAATCTCCACTGTAGTTTCCCCATCCAGCTCTGCCCTGACAATGCCGTTTTTCCACTTTTTTTTTTAACTATTTTCCTCTAGCCTAGACCAGTCTGCTCTTTCCCTATTCCACCATCTTGGAATCTTACAGTGGTCAATTAAATTGAGGTTAAGAATTAGCAGAGAGCAAGGAACGGCTTCCAGGGTCTTCCTTGAAAACATAGGATAAATACAGAAACCTGATGCATCCATGGAAGTGGCAGTTAGGAAATGAGTTCTGTCAGTGTCATATCCTGTAGTCCCTACTCAGACAATCCTCCCCTGAGAATTTCAGAACACCCAAGATCTTGTTTGTAATTCTGCAGTAGATATCTCCACAATGATTTATGGTTATAGAAAAACATTTGTGGAGTATTGATTTCTTGGACAGCTTTTAATTTAGAGGATTGTTATTGACTCTTGATTTAAGATTTTTAAAATAGGCAAACTATAGGAAGACTGTTTCAACAACAGGTACAGGAAAAGGAAAGAAAAATAGGCTTTATTATCCTGGCTTAAGATGGTTCAGCCAAGGGAAAAGTAGGCTGCTTGGAAAATTTGATGTCTTCCAAAAGGACAATTTTTGTTAGAGTAGTGAAACTTTATGATTCTTAATAAAATCTAAATTTTTTGTTTTAAATCATTTCATATTAATAACCATTTATTTAAAATTTTTTAAAAGATTTGATTTATTTGAAAGGTAGAGTTACAGACAGAGAGAGGGAGAGACAAAGAGAAAGGTCTTCCATCCTCTGGTTTACTCCCCAAATGACTGCAACGGCCGGAGCTGAGCTGATCTGAAGCCAGGAGCCAGGAGCTTCTCCTGGGTCTCCCACACAGGTACAGGGGTCCAAGCACTTGGAGTATCCTCTACTGGTTTCCCAAGCCATAAGCAGAGAGCTAGATCAGAAGAGGAGCAGCCAGGACACTAATGGCACCCATATTAGGTGCCAGTGAGTCAGGTGGAGGCTTAGCCTATTATGCCACAGTGCCAGCCTCTTAATAACGTTTTTTATTTCTCCCTGTTCCTTGAAATGAAACATGTTCTACTGAGTGAATTTTCACATAGGATTTACTTTCATCACTAAATTTACAGTGAAGCAAGAGCACAAATGAAGCACTGTGTATATCTTCTGAGTATCAGAACTGCACTCTCAGGATGAATAAAGCTAGGGAGTTTCAGAGATCAATGAGTTTGACAAAATGCAAATTAACTGTATATTAATAGCATTTTTGTTGATTTTTTGGGGGAAAGCATGTATAATTACTTTGCTTTGATATGAGTATGATGGTTAGAGTTATGAACTCCTTTTAAATTATTTTTGAACCATAAGTGGCAAAATGCAATAGTTATGTAATTATTAAGAAAATTCACATCTTGTTTCCATGCAGATATTTAATTAATGTATACACATGGGAATGAAGTTGCCTAAAGAAAGACTTTTTACTATACTTTCTTATAGTTGATTAGGAAATTCTTATTGTAATTATAAACTATTGTGTTGTAATTGATCAAAATGGCCAGGTCTTGAAGTGGTTCAGATGTTGAGAAAGCAGAAATTACTACGTCTGCTTCATCATGGAATGTCTTGCTGTGCATTTGTATAAATTTAACCATCACCTGTTGCTGTTTAACTGTAAATACTTCTAGTTGTGTGTTATTTAAGGTCTATATGTAAGGTTAAGCAAAATGAGGCATATTTCTTATTTTGCAGGTTTTATAGTGTTGATATCAACTTTATTATAATAATAAGTAGCAATGGTAAGAATAGTAAGTATCAGTCATCTTTCTTTAAGGATAATTTCCTCTTATATAATGGAGTGGACAGCATGATGTTTTGGTTTGGTGTATTCCATTGATAAGGAAAACATGATACTTAGTTGAGAATCCCTTTTCTAAAAACTAAAAGAACTCTACTGAGGGACACTGTAATTTAATATTTAGGCCAGTAAACAGGGAAAGAAGTGGGAGTGAAGCCCTGTCCATGACTCTTCTCTGCTGGGATCCTGTCATTTTCTTTCATCTCCCTCTCTTGTTCTAGGTCTCTCAGTTCAAATAGGCTAATGATAGCACTGTCTCAGAGAGATTTTTTAACGCCTGATGAAAGAAGAATGTGGAGCATTGTGCAGAAATTCTGACACATAGTAAACCTGCCATCCATTCTATTTATTAGTGATTATTTCCTTATCACTTTTATTGTGACATTTAGTTAGAAAGATGAGGCTGGAGAATGTTGGAAGGTGTCAGACTGCTGGGGGTTTAATATCCATGGAGAAATCACTAAGAATAATAGCAGAGAACTAGGGATGGGGAGGAATAGTAGTAGTTGGTGTCTAGTTGCAGAATGCATTGAGGTACATAAGTCAGAAGATTAAAATAAGCATTTTGTTAGGGTTTATTAATAAAATTGCTTGCATACACAATAAGTAGAATGTATATGAACTGAATGACAATTCCAAATTCATGAAAATTTTGTGCTAGCTCCTATCAGAACATAGTTGGACACTCTGGGCACCTGCAAGACACTTTATCCATGTTCAATTCCTTCTTCCTTGCAAAAAAAAATATGTTTGGGTCTGTGTTTGGAAAATTTGTATTCCTTTAACTTTATCATTTCCTTTTCTCCACTTCCTGATTGTCATTCTATGAAGATTACTTTAAATTTTTTAATTTATTATTTTATTCAAAATGGAGAGAGAGAGAGAGAAAGAGAATATCTTCCATCTACTGACTCACTCTCCAAATGCCCACTGCATCTTGAAACTCAATCTGGGTTTCCCATAGGTGACAAGGACTCAAGTACTGGGGACGTCACCTGCTGCCTCCCAGAGCATGCATTAGCAGGAAGCTGCAGTCAGAAGCCAAGCCAGGACTTACACCTGTGCACTGGAGTATGGGATGCAGGTGTCACAGGTAGCATCTTAACCGCTGTACTAAAGGCCTACCATTTTAAATATTAAAAATAAAGATTGCTGGTCAGAGGCTAGAAGATGGAAATAAATTATTATAGAGTTAAAGAGAACTGGGAAAGGATATTATTCAGGAGATAAGATGTTTTAGTGATGATAGTGAATGAATATGAAGTATTAATGATTTTATCAGACCCTTGCCCAGTACATGAGTTGAGGCAATTTGGTATAAACAGTCACTCTTTGGAGGGGAAGAGAGTTTCCCTGTAAAGATTTTAGGGAAATAGAAGAGATAGAAGAAATGCTTAAGTTAAAGTCAAAGGATATGGATGGAGTGATCCCCCATAGAAGTGAGCATCCGAGAGGTGTAGAGAAAGGGGTTGACAGATTGGACAGTATTTGGAGTGGGGTCTGGAGACAGATAAAGCACAGTTAAAATGCAGAGAAATTAATATTCAGAATGTTTGAGCCCTCTGCAGGGATCATGTATAACCTGACAAGGAGCAATAATGGTAATACATGATGGTGGCAAAGAGATGGGGCACCACCAGAGGGTGGAAAGAAAGAGCAAAAAGAAAATCTTCCAGAACAACCAAAGCAATTTAGGGCTTATACATGCAAAAGAAAGACAGAATGGTATCCAAGGCTGGGATAAGATAAGAATTTAAGTACTTTTTCTCTGTGGATTAATTCATTGTACTTTTTATTTATTTATTTATTTTACAAATCTCATTTTAATTTTTGGTATTTTAGAAAATAATGGAATTTATTCTATTATTTATTATATTAAAAAATAAAACGATACCTTATTGCCCCTTTAGTCCATGCCTGGTTTTCTAAGAACTTTATGTAGTATTATTTCTCAGCTGAATTTGGTTTCCTACATGTCTTAGCCATCTGTCCCACAATCAGTCCCTACCTATTCAGTTCTCCTTAGATTAGGTAGGGGCTGAGACCCCCACTCACCTCTAGTGAGCTGGGACTTGGTGGTGCATTTTCATCTTTTATTTCATCATTTTTTTATGTTCCTTGCATTTGTAGACAACTTTTTCTCCTTCATTGAAAGCACAGCTTCTTCCTCCCTAATGCAAGTATGATGTGAAATGATTTCTTCCCATTTTTCTGTCAATGTGAAGGGTTTACAGTTTTATCCAATATCAGCATTCCAAGTTTCTCCTCTATGACAATGGCTCCAAGTACAAATATGTGTAGTTGGCAGTAATCTCTCTGAAATCTAGACTTGTATTTCCTGTTGCTTGTTTGACATCACTGCTAGGATGCATTGAATATGTAAGTTGGAAAGAGGACTGTTTCTCGGTACTCATACAGGAGTCATTGATGTTTATCAGCTTACTGTTATTAATGGAACCACCAGCTAAAGAAACCAACAGACAACTGATCAGTATTGTTGCTAACTCTTCCCTTGGTGTCTACCATGTCCTACCTCATCCCAGATCACCTGCTCAACTGCTGTTTGATCGCTACTTACATGAATACACACATGTGCATACAATACTGAGTCCATGTTTCTTCTGCTATCCCTGAGGCTCACCTCTGACTACCTCTCACTTGGATTATTTGCAAAATGTATTGTGTTCTTCAGTTGATCTACTAAATAATAAAAGAAAAAAACTATGTCACAGTTACAATAATCACATTCTCTTACAAATTAGTGCTTCTTGTTTTTTACTAATTTATTTTCGAACTTTATCTTTCGTTCGTCTGCTTCTCTCACCATGGATTTGCCTGTTGATCCTTCATTTTTTTCTCACTCTGTATTTCATAAAATGTTATCTGTCCAGCTCTTCCTATGAAAGTCTTCACTGTTATTCAAGGGCAGCCAAAGTGTTATTGAATTAGGCAGTTTTTTTAATATAAAAAATGTCAAATCTGGTATCCTACATCAAACAGAATTAGTCTTTTCAATTTCTGTTGCATGTAGTACCACACATTCAGAAATGATTATATTTTATGTAACTGTGAATATTCATATGGATTTTTTCTGTCTTATAGAATGTCAGTCTTAGGTTGAAGAGTTGAGGTTCTATTTGATTTTTCATGTTTTCCATATCCTCCAAAAGAACATCCTTCAAACTTGGAATATGTTTCCAGTGGTACTGACAAATTTCACATAGATACACACATTTGATAAAACAAAATATTCAGCCAATTTTACTAAAATGGACAATTTAACTTAATAGTTGTTCACAGTAATATTTTGGAATAGTGTCAAGAAAGCAACTGGTTGATTGGTGGACTGGTTTCATTCTGAAAACTGGTCTGAAGTTGCAAAGATATGGAAAAAAACAAGGAAAATAAAAAAACATCCTGTTAAATTCAGAATTTTTGCTGCTATGTTTTATATGTGCCGTGGTGACTTCAAGAAAACAGGTCACTTTAATTGAATCACATATAACACTGTTTGAAAATAAAACAAAGTCTGCATTTCTAAGTATCTTGGAAGAATGATTCTAATTTTGTTGCCAACATTCTGCTATCCCATTTGTTATCAGCATCTATTTTCATCTGTCATTTTACTAGATCTGAAACACATTAGAAACACAGCTCTGATGGCAGCATTGAGATTGACTAATTTGAAATGTTTTACATTAAAATACATTTATTTGAGTCAATGATGACACTGTGTTGTAGGAATTTGAGGGATACACTTATCTCATTTTTACAAAGTGTGATTTTATTTAAATCCTGTCTCTACCAATTCTGAGTTGTATGGCATTTCTCACGTGCCCTTCTTCAAGGGCCTCAAATTTAACTATTTGTGAGAATTAGTTTCATTAATGTAAAGATTTTCATATGGTTCTTGCCATGCACTGTTCAGTAGACAATAATAAATATAATTGTCCTTAATGTGCTGTGTATTGAGATTTAATGCTATAACGAGTACTCAAACAATATATTTCACTTTGTGTTTCTATGGGGGTGCAAACTGTTGAAATCTTTACTTAATGTATACTAAACTGATCCTCTGTAAAAAAAAAAAAAAGAAATTATCAACTCCCAACTTGACTCTCACTGGGATTAAACATGACAATAGGTCTGATCTGATTTCATCATCATTTAAAAAAAAATCATCTATTATTTTTCACTTTATGTTTCTGTGTGAGAGCAAACTGTTGAAATCCTTACTTAATGTATACTAAGCTGATCTTCTGTATATTAAGATAATCGAAAATGAATCTTGATGTGAATGGAAGGGGAGAGGGAGTGGGAAAGGGGAGGGTAGTGGGTGGGAGGGACGGTATGTGGGGGAAGCCATTGTAATCCATAAATCGTACTTTGGAAATTTATATTCATTAAATAAAAGTTAAAAAAAATACACTGAACTTGAAAAAAAATATAATTGTACTCATGAGTAGTTGACTCCATGATTTACCACACTCTTATTCAGATCAGTGATTATTCTTTTTGGTCCATGTCTATAATTAGAAATGGGCACAAGTTCTTTTTTTTAAAAATTTTTTTTGAATCATGATGCTATCAACCATACTATTTGGAATAATTGTTACATTGTGTAAAGTTTTACCATTTGAAAGTCAGAAAATTTTTATAAATAGAAAGAAATATGTGTAAAAGAGTAGCTTTTATCAATATGTGTGATAAGCAGCCATGTGACTTGTGACTTTAGTCTGTTTTTGTGAATTAATAAATAACACTTGAACATATCTTTTTATTTGCTCTAAATCGTTAGAATTATCATATAGGAAAGCCATTTACATTTTTATGAATTTGGGGGCCAATTTAATTATTTATAATTTTTCTTTCACTGTGAAGGGGAAAGAAAAAAAAATCAACCAAAGACAGGCATTTTGGTTCAGTGTTTAAGACTCTGCTTGGTACACCCTCATCTCTTATTCCTGGTTCAAGTCCTGGATTTGCTTCTGATTCCAGTTTTCTGCTAATGTACATCCTTGTAAGTAATAGATGATAACTCACTGCTTGGATCTCTGCTACTCATGTGAGAGAACAAGATTGAGTTCTGGGCTTCTGTCTTTGGCTTAGCCCAGCCCCGCTTGTTATGGGCATTTGAAGAGTGAATGAACCAGTAGAAGAAATCTCTCTCTCTCCCTATCTCTATGTTTCACATAAAATGAAAATTAAGTAAAAAAAATACTAAGCTAACCAAATTAAATGAAAAAAAAATAACAATAAAATTATTCACCAAATCTTAAAGAATTATGGTTATTTAAAACATTGAGTTTGGAGTGAGGAGGCCAGTGTTCTAATCCAGCACCTGCCTTTAAGTAACATTGTGTTCTTAAAAAAAAGTCATTTAATCTCTTCATGCCTTATTTTTCTCATTTTAACAATAATAGACAGATCTATAGTATGGCCCCCAAGCAACTTTTCAAGAAGTCTCCACTCTTCACATATTAACAGTTTTTTTTCTGCAATGGCCTTGCAATTCATGCCTTTAAGTAAGGGTAGCTAATGACTCACCTTTAATGTTCTGTCTCATGGCGCCAGCCAGGGGAATGCCATTTTGAAAGGAACTCCCAGCAACATGAGACTCACATCCTGTTCTCCTCTCCTATATCTTTCTGAGTCTCCTGTTACCATGTGATACCTATGGTGGTTTAGTGGATCTGAAAGTCTGGGATCTACCAGTGGGTGATTCACAGTGCATAAAAGTGGTATAGATTAGAACACGGTAGGAGGGGCCGGCACCGTGGCTCACTTGATTAATCCTCCGCCTGTGGTGCTGGCATCCCATATGGGCGCCAGGTTTTCTAGACCCAGTTGCTCCTCTTCCAGTCCAGCTCTCTTCTGTGGCCCAGGAGTGCAGTGGAGGATGGCCCAGGTGCTTGGGCCCCTGCATCCACATGGGAAACCTGGAGGAAGCACCTGGCACCTGGCTCCTGGCTTCAGATTGGCGCGGTGTGCCAGCCGTAGCAGCCATTTGGGGAGTGAACCAATGGAAGGAAGACCTATCTCTCTCTCACTGTCTATGGCTCTACCTGTCAAATAAAAAATAAATAAATAAAT